TTGCTGCACCCAAGCAATCTTCAAACTGTTTTTACAACTCTCCAGAACTCAACATGCGAGGTAGTTAAAGAAAATGGAGACATGTGCATGCAGGGGGCACTACTGATAAGAGGACTAGGAAAGTCTGTTAGGAGGTAAAAGAAGAAGACAAGGTTTTTATACCCCGCTTTTCTCTACGCTAAGGAGTCTTAAAGCAGCTTACAATCACCTTCCCTTCCTCTGCCTACACCAAGCACCTTGTGAGGTAGGTGGGGTTGAGAGAGTGCTGAGAGAACTGTGACTGGCCCAAGGTCACCCAGCAGGCTTCATGTGGAGGAGTGGCGTATCAAAGCCAGTTCTCCAGATTAGAGTTCACCACTCTTCACCACTATGCCATGCTGTCTCTATGTTTGCTGCTCTTAGTCATGGCTGATGGAATATAAGCCTACATGAAAGCAAAGCAACCCACAGGAGGCAAAATATGGGCCCCGGTCACACAGACCGGATATTGCGGGGGGGAGGCGTGGCTAATTGCCCCGGCGCAGTTTGATGCATGATTACGCAATCAGACACGCCAGCAGCACACCACGGGTCCTTCCCTCGGCACCGGCGGGTAAATGAGGGACCGGAGGAGAATGCTGCGCACTGGCGCAATCACACCACGGGTGTCTGGAGGCAGCCCGTGGCAAACATTTACTAGTACCTTGGAGGTACTAGTTTTTTAAGGCGCATTGTCGGCGGTAAGCCACCGGTGCACTCCACTTCCCAGATGTTGGGGTGTGATCGCGCCCGGATAATCCGCCCACCATCCGTGCCTCTCCCGTGGCAACTTTGCCGTGTGACCGGGGTCATTGCCAACATTCTTTCATGGGATAAGAGGTCTGGGAACATTTCTCTGTTACTCAGGTAATATATTGGCATCATCATTCAGGATATTCCAAACCTGATTATGGTATGAGGGCTCAGGAAGACTTGGGACCTCAAAGCACTCTCAAGTCGGGGGGTGGGTGGGTCCCAAAATCCTGTCTCCAATCCCAAACCAATTTACTCATTGTTCCACTGCAGCAGCAGGAGGTGGCCTGGTCAGCAAGAAGAAAGTCTTACTCCTGCCCTGGCACCTCAGTTGTTCCATCACAAATTGAGATGTCAAGTGTATACCGGGAAACATTATTCATTTTGCACTTGAGTCCCCAACATATTACTGTATTTGAGCCAGAGAAGATTTTTTGGGGATGGGGTGAGGGAGAGCTGCCCTCATCTCAAGCAGGAGTAATGAGCCTTATATTCTAAGCACACTGAAGGCAAACCTGGCAGTGTCACTAAACAAAATACCCGAAGGAGGAACTAAGCTGGCTGCAGTTGAAGCTGTATGTACTTTCAGAAGGATTACAGATTGCTTTATGAACAGTGACCTCTCTCTGTCTCCTTTCATGTTATATTTTACATACACCTTCAACTCATATCTTTTTCCAACCAGTTGCCCTCGAGGGCCAAAGGAACATAGAGGCTGAATTCCACCCCACTGCTGCCACCTCCCAGCACTCGTATTCAGAGGTTTGCTGCCTCTGTTGATGGAGCCTCCCTTCAGTCAACAGGACAGATATTTAGGGAAAGCTACAGAATCGTTACCACTTCCTAGGAGAGGACCAACTTCTAAACCCCATTTTAGAGTTTTGCAAACAAAGGCAAAGCCCTAGTTGTTAGTAAAAATGGATGCCACTTTCTTTGTTTTACTTGGACAGGGGGACAGAGAGCTGGAAGCGGCTATGCCTGGCAGTACCTTCCCGTACACATATTTTTTTAAAGAAAAAAATGCAGAACCAGTGAGAGTTAATACTGCTGAGCTAATCCTAATGACTAATTAGCTAATTTCTAATTAACTGTTTAGCTGGTACTAAATTGCTGCAGGGTGTTACAGACAATGACAGTGCAGGCATGCTGGCTGTGGAAGGGAAGAGAAGGAAAACTGTAATGCAGTAGAAATGTCAGAGAGGAGCCTTCATAAGTGATAGGAAGGCTAGAACAAGATGCTACATTAAACACACAGCTGCCACCCCAAATGAAAACAGCAGATTTAGCACCCCGGCCTCCCCTCCCCCCTGCCCCTGACAACTTAAAGAACTCATCTGGATGCAGATGCCATAGCGCCATGCATTTCCCCGCCTCTGGTCAATGGTAAGCCAATGAAATGAGATAGGAGAAAGAAACACAAAATGCTGCTGTATTAGGACAGAAGGTAGCTGCCCTAGATTTAAAATAGGGGAATTAAACATGCAATTGCTGCTAAGCGCCAGCCATGCATTGAATGGAATAAGTGATTTCTGGCTCAGAATACTTTTTCCAACTCCAACATTTAAACAGAATAACTTTGCAGAATGATCATTCCACACACACACACACAAACTCGGTCTCCATCCCTCTGCAGCCTCCAGGGCTTACAATTCAATAAAGCTGTTTGTGGATATTGGGAGACCCTCAAATATTGAGCAGAGAATACCCTGGAGAGCCCTTCAGTGGGTAGCCATGTAGAACAGCTAGACTGGAGTCCAGTAGCACCACAGAGACCAAAAATATTTTTGGGGGGTATTAACTTTTGAAAGTCCAAGCTCCTTTTATCAAATACCTGGAGGGTATCTGGGAGATAGAGGGTGTCCTGGAGGGGTTGTGCCAAGAAGGGGAAGCCCCTCCCACCACTCACAAGTGCTCATGCAAGGGAGTGGGCAATTTCTCCTCATTTCCCTTTCTTGATGCAGCCACATCCCACTCCATTCCCGAAGATGCCCTAATCTTCCAGAATACTTATTCTGAAGGGAGGGCAGAGGAGGATGAGTGCAGAAGGAAGGCGGAGGGATCAGTTCTACAAACTCCTTATATTCACAATTTGTAGAATCTCAACCCTTGTTTTTCACTTGTAAATATGGTTCCCATGACATGTACCATGGAAAACAGCCATTTAAATCTCAGTAACAGACCTGTAAATATGGCTGTAATTTGAAGAATTACTTGGGTGGGTATTAACCTGGTCCTCAGAACGGAAATTATATATCATTTATTAATATATTAACATTTTTCTGGTGTCATGCTTATTTAAACATGCTGTTAATTGCCCCAGCCCTGACCTGAATAGCCCAGGCTAGCCCGATCTCATCAGATCTCAGAAGCTAAGCAGGGTCAGTCCTGGTTAGTACTTGGATGGGAGACCACCAAGGAAGTCCAGGATTGCTACGCAGAGGCAGGCAATGGCAAACCACCTCTGAACATCTCTTGCCTTGAAAATCCTACAGGGTTACCGTAAGTTGGCTGCGACTTGATGGCACTTTTCACCACCCAAACTGCCCCAAGTGCATTCTTATAGAATGGTGGGGAACCACCCCACAAGAACCCAAACAAACAGTCTTGATGGTGTTCAGTGGCAGCAGCTGATCCCCAAACAGAAATCTGAGATTGGTTTTCTTTACTTGGTGGAGGGAGAAGAGCAGCTTCCGCTGAACTAGAAAATGGCGGGAGCGGCATTTCTAAGAGCATAAAATTGCTAATATGTGAAGGTGGGTTACAAAGGCCAGCAAAAGATCAGTGAGAGAGAGTATTTATGAATACAACTGAAAACAACTGAAGCAAGCAGAAGCAGTGAGAAAGTGGCTGTTTGAACACACCTGCTGCATCTCCGAAAAAGAAATGGAAAGCAGACGCCTGAAACACCAAAGAACATGCTGCTCTCCTGCTCCTTCAGCTCAGACGTTCTTGTCTCACAGTGAAATCCTAAACAGGGTTACCTTTTTCTAAGGCCACTGATATCAGTGGGGTCCATGGGGTCGCGAAGAGTCGGATTCGACTGTGCAACTGAACAACAACAACAAGGGTGTAACTCTGTTTAGGACTGTATTGTTAGTTTCTTTTTTTCTTCCACTATGCCTTGCTATACGGCCTATCCAGTATTTGCTGATTCACCTGGTGTAATGCTACGGTGTGTTAGACCCCCAACAAAATATGCAGAAATCCACAGTCCACCTGACATGCAGCTGTTTGTGGCCTGAGCTTGCTTTATGGCAGCTTGATCCTTTGGAATGCCCAACAGACTCTAACAAAACCTAACCAATGCTCTGGAGAATACAACTGAGAAGAGAGTTGATTCTCTTTGCATAAAAGGGGTGGTGACTGGAATCCATTTTGTACTTTTGGAGCAGAATCACAGCCCTGGCGAATTATTACAGTGATAGAACGTATCTATTAATAACTGAAATAATAGTTCTTACTGCACCTATCTGGCTTTTGCATGGTTGGAGCAGCACATACTGGTAAAGGCAAGTGTGGTTTGGCAGCATATGGCATTAGCTAGGAAATGACATCTTTTCCGTAATAGAGCAAAATTCTCCCTGTTTTTAGACACCAGGGGACTCTGAAAGTTTAAAAAGAACTACAGATATGAGCGTGTAATGGAAACGGCATGGAAAAAAGGTGGCACTCCTATGAGTGGCCCAATTGCATATTACTGTTAATTCCCCAATAAAGTGCTTTTCAGGACTGGGACCACAGACTTCAATTCTTTGTTAGTCATCCGTGATGGAAGGTGCGCCTAACTACTTGCGAAGATATCTGGACACTCTACCGTTCTATATACATTTGATTTGTTTGCTTTTAAGGGAAATACAAAAATAAGCAGAAGAAAACAAGAAAAGAAAGATTGTAATACTGAAAGTACTCGCCTATTGCTTATCGCAATTATGCTGTAAACCCACTTACTGCAGGCAATCAAAGCTCCTTTTTCATCACAGACAAAAATGATTGTGAACAACGTATAATTTGCTGATCTCTGAGGCTTCTCACCATTGTGTTTCTCTAACCTTGGGCCACCGCAACCTCTTTCTGGCCGCATACAGTTTTACCGAGTCCATCACATTAACAAAACAAGAGGTCTATTTATTTTTCCAATCAGACAAAATGCTTTTGAGTCCCAGCAGCTAGAGAAAGCTGCTATCTAGAGCTACCCCCCAGAACAAGAAAAGGTCTCATCTGATACTTACGTCGGCTTTCATACATGCTCCTGGACTGGGCCCAGATTTTGAATGGATCTGGCTTCTTCTGCCCAGCGTTGTCTGGTTGATCTACAGCTGGCGCTTCAGGGGCAGGGTAGTCGGGAAGCACCTGAGTGCTGTGGACAGGCGAAGCAGTGTGTGTGCTGTGGTGGCTGGAGACGCTGTGTTGAGAGCTGTTTTGGCTATCTTTCCTTTCAAGTGGTTGCTGTAAGCGAAAGCACCAGAAGAGATGGGGAAGGGAGGAAAAAAATCCCAAGAAGGTTAATGGCTTGCAAGTGAGCAATTTCCTGCAGGTTTTTTTTTTTTGGGTCTAGGTTCAGCATTTCTGCATGCTCCCAAATTATATCTATCTATATAGATATAGACATATAGTCACATTTTGGCTTCTACCATTTCCAGTTTTGTGCTGAGTACAGATATATTTTCCCCGTGATAGACAGACTGAGTGACAAAGGGATGCGAGAAAGGGAAAAGTCATCCATCACTGAGAACAACATGCAACCTTCCACCTACAGGCACACCGCAAATCAAAGTTCCCTACTAGATCGGTGGCTTCATATTTTTTTCACCCTATGCTCAGAACAGCATCTCTGACCAGTGGGGAACAACTTTGTCCTGGGCCGTATTGTCAAGCCAATACAATACAAGCTTTGTTTATGACACACCTTCCCCCCCACAAAAAGCTGGCCCAGTGTGGCTCACAATAAAATAAACAACAGATCAGATTAAAGCCAGAACTACCAATAAGGCTGAAAATCAGTGTGACATCTATGAACTGGCTTGCTCCAGCCAAAAGCTGAGCTGCCATATTCAGCTGTAACAAGCCAAACTTCCGATTAGTTTCCATATGTCTTTGCCCCACATGTTTGTTTATCCCTCATCACACTTCACACAAGAAGTTAAAACAACCATGTAGAATACCACCAACTTCTGATGGACTGAAGTATAGCAGGAATCTCTCCAAATCTAGCAAACCAGTGAGTGGGCAGGGAAAGACATTTAGAATCCCACATCTTCATTTCCCTTCAGCTTTGTCACCTTATATTAGGATACTAAGCACTGGATGAAAGCTTCATTGAGAGGATTATGTTGGGTGGGTGACTATAGAGAGCTACAGATTTTGGGAAATGGTTACTTAACTAACTTAAAATCAGTTAACACGATTGGTTATTTAGTGAGCTTAGTTTATTTATTTAGATTATTTATAGCCCACCTTTCTCACCAAGACTCAAGGTGGATAACAGAGTACAGACAGAGAGACGGAGGGGGGAAATGTAATCACACAAGATATGGCAGTGAATGTATAATGCAGTAGCACAAAATTGAACAAGGAAAGCGACGATGTGCTCACACAGTGCAAGGTGTACAATAGACAATGCAAATGAACAATGCGATAGGACCAGAGGTCATTTCGGGGGGGATCGCGGGGGGGTCGCAGTTCCCCCGGGTGAGGTACGGGGGGTGGGGCACATGACGAAGCCCCGCCCCCTGCTTCCGGCTGCCCCGTTTCCGGCCCTCATTCAGCCAGGAGGAGGCAGGAGAAGATGGAGGGTAAGTTGCTTCCTCCCTGCCTCTCCCCACCCCTGCCTGCCTGGGGCCAGGGAGGGCCTTCGCGGGGCTTCCTTGCATTCCCGCCGGCCTTGCAGGTCCACCGCCGGGCCTTATGACACCCTGATGTCAGGGGGTGTGGCCTTATGACACACTTCAGGTGATGTCAAGGGGTGTGGCATATGCTAATGAGTTATGCTAATGAGTTCCCCTAGCTCTTTTTCTACGAAATGACCCCTGGATAGGACTAGTAATACAACATTAAATGCTGCAGTCCAGAAGCACGTTGGTTCCACAAACTGAAATTAGGAAGGAAGGTTCACATTCTATACGGCACCACATAATAAAGATGCTAACGACATGAACCAAGAGCAGCAGCATACATTAATGGGGTCCCCCATCTTCCATAAACTGACGGCCAAGTTAACAGCCAGCATGGTGCAGTGTTTAGATCAGATTTGGATCTGGCAGGCCCAGGTTTCAATCCCCAATATGCCATAAAATCTTGCTACGTGACCTTGGGCCAGTCACTCTCTCTCTCTGCCTAACCCACCTCACAGGGTTAGTAAGAATAAAATGGAGGAGAAAGGTGGGGTATAAATGAAGTAAATACGCAAAATGAAGTAAACACCCACAAAAAAATCACAAGGTGTGACAATAACCTGCTACTAGAAGCTATTATGTTATCATGCGGACACCCGTTCCTATATAACTATTTAAGAGCATCTCATACATTACAAGTAGTTATTTCGATGGAAGTAACACGCCCATATTTTTTTTTAAAATAGATTTCCCACTCTTTCCTTAGCCAGTATTATTATTATTAATTTAATTTTTATCCCGCTCCATTTCCTGCAAGCAGGACTCAGGGCAGCATACAACATGTATATACATCAGCACATATAGGAACAGAATAAATATACATCAGTACATAATAAAATACATTCAATACAATTAAGCTCCAGTACTAAACAGTAATTTGATCTACTGTTGGGATGGTGTCACAGATAGCTGGGGTGGTTGACATACAATCCATATTCCACCCATGGGGAGGATCTTAACCAGGAGAGAACAGAGAATCGAGAAGGTGGGGGGAAGAAACCTGGAGGCCATTGATCCTTCGCTGTCCTCAACCATATGCCCGGTGGAACATCTTAGTCTTACAGGCCCTGCAGAACTAAGCTAAGTAAATTCCAAGTAATTTATCTTCCAGGGATTCCTTATACATGTTCTGTAAAACCCATGAAGAGAACTCTAGAGTCTTTTCAAGGTCACAGTTCAATAAAAGCATTATAAAGTGATAGGCTCAAGTTAAGAATAGTATATGCCATCCCATATTTCAATTCAGTTCAAAAGCCTGCAGAAAAGAAATGTCTTCAATTTCCTCCTTGGGACAGGAATTTCATTGTCTGGGGTAGCAGCTGAAAGGCCTTCACATGACTCTCAGCTAACCTATCTTCTGTAAAAGATGGGTTCTGCATGAAGGTACCGTGCCTGGATGTCAAGATTCAGGCAGGCTGGTACAGGGGGAAGAGGTGCTTTGGATGCTGAGAATAAGTGTTGTCACCTTGAACTGAGCACAGAAACGAAGTGCTAACCCATTCAACTGAAGTAGCAGTAGGGTTAAACTATCGTTTTGCCATGCCCAAGTAAGTATTTGGCACTAACAAAAGTTTCTGAACTGTCCTAAAGTGTGGTGCTGTAATATAGTCTGGATCATATCTAACCATATGTGACTGTGGCCAGGCTGCAGAACACTTCTAAATCCATGCCAGAAGATTCACATTGCTCAGGAAGATCAATAACAAAAGATGCTTTCTTCCAACTTCATGGAAGATGGCTCCCCCCTACCTTGACTCGGCCAGTACAGTCATGTGGATCCATGCCACTCTTTGCATAGAATTGCACTTAACGCAGAAGCTCAAACTGATACAGAACACTGCAGCTTGGTTGCTATCAGAAGCATTCACACCTGATCTGCAATCACTCCATTGGTTACCAATCAGTAACCGGGCTCAGATCAAGGTATTGGTCATCACCTACAAAGCCCTTCATGTCCTTGGGCCCATACTCCTGCAGAACCCCCTCTCCTACCATGCTCTGCTACAGGAGCTTTCCTCATCTGAGCAAAATCTTCTGAGGGTACCACTTTGCAAAGGGCAACAGCCTGTACTCATACATTCTCTCTCATGGCTCCCACTTTTTGGAATGGCTCCCCTGATGTGGCCAGGAAGGCCCAAACACTTTATTTCACGGAATGTGCAAAACAGAAAAGTTCAAGACAGCATCTTTACAAAGAGATTAGAACTGTAGTATAATGGAACAACTCAGGAGGATGCTTTTATAAGGGGATAGGGTTAGAGTATATTGCAATGTTTACCATATCACTTTGCTTTTATTGCATTGTCTTTTGCCTTTGCAATCCACTTTCGGCTTTTTATTATGCCGTGCCTTAGACAGGTATTTTGTGTGTGTGTGTGTGTGTGTGTGTGTGTGTGTGTGTGTGTGATGGTTGACTTCTGGCGACCCCTAGTGGGGCTTGGACATTTCAGAGAGGTGGCTTGCTATTGCCTGCCTCTGCATCCCAGCCCTGGTATTCCTTGGAGGTCTCCCTTCCAAGTACTTGCCAGGGTTGGCCCTGCTTAGCTTCTGAGATCTGACGAGATCGGTCTTGCCTGGACAAATCAAGTCAGGGCTGTTCTATTGCGTTGTTTATTGGATGTCATACTGTCTGTTGATACTTTGCAAGCTATCCTGACTCTCAGTGAGAAAGGCAGGCTAGAAACAAAGTAAATTAATTAATTAATACACCGTCACCTGCTGGACTCCCTTAGCAACCTAGGTTTTTTTGTTCTAACTGTCTTCCGCTGATTCCCCCAGCCAGCCATCAATTCATTCAGTATTTCCATGGGGTAAAATCTTCCTCAGTTCTCTCTTACCAGAGCCCTCTCAGAGATTTCCATTCTTTCTCTACACAGTGTCCCTGAGTAACTACATCAAATGCCATGACTTTCAGTACCCCCTCAAACAATTCCCACAACACCAACTGCTTTCCCCACGTTTCCACTTGGACATCTCATCAGTATTTCAAAATCAACAAATCAAAGAACAAGGTTCTCATTCTCTTCTCTGTTCTCCTTGTATGATTGCAAAGGGGTAGAGACATATGAGTCTTTTACAGCAAAATACAGCAAAAGTCCTTAAGGACTAACTCAGCATTTATTTCAATATGAGCTTTCGTGAGTCACAGCTCACTTCCTGAGATATGTGGAGGGAATTCTATTTAAAGAGAAGATTACTGGGGGGAGGGAGATCTACCTTTCACACCCACCTTTCTGCCTCATTCTCTCTTCCATCATTGTACTCTTCCCTTTAAATAGAATTCTCAATTTGATTTCCCTCCACATATCTGAAGAAATGAGTGATGACTCATGAAAACTCAAACTGATACAAATGTTGTTAGTCTTTAAGGTGGACTTTTGTTTTATACTTCTTGTATGACTATATCACCATCCACTATGGAACAGATACAAAGCCCTGACTCTCACGCTTCTTCCTTTCTTTCTGTCCATATTTTTATTATTTATTTATTTATATTTCGATTTCTAGGCCGCCCTCCCCGCGAGCGGGCTCAGGGTGGCTAACATCCAGGCACGC